AAAGCATTTGAGTAAGTCTCATAATCGAACCTTTTCCACATGTACCACGTCTCTTATAGAACCTACTGTCAGCCAACTAGCTTCAATCGCCGCCGCGTCTATCCTGTTTCTATCCCTAATACAAAGTCTATGACTTCCCATGCCCTAGTATCTTGTGTGCCAACGCAAAAACGTTGTGGTTCAACATTGAACCTAACAAAAGCAAGCAGTACCACAACATTTGTTGATTAACACACAAGAGAATAAGGCATGGCCAGTCATAGACTTGGTATTAGAGATAGAAACATGATAGACACGGCGGCGATGGGAGCTATGGGCTGACAGTAGGTTCTATAAGAGACGTGGTACATGTGGCAAAGGCTCGATCATGAGACTTACTCAAATGCTTCAGCCTCGAATTAGTCACACAGACGCAGCAGAGGGCGAATAACGTATTGAGTGGCGCAGATGGAGTTGCAGGGGAGATGGCAGACGGATCTTACGGGGCAAGAGAGAGACTGGGGTAAGACCTAGGGAAGGAGGACTGCGTAATATGGCAGACTCTGATCAACATTCCCAGCACAAGGATGAAGGCGGGTGAGAAGGCCAGCGTGGAGTGAAGAGGGCTCTCATGAAAGCCGCTCAACAGGGCACAGCGTACCACCTTTAATTAATCAAGTAAAAAATTGTGACAGTTAAGGCGTGATAAGAAGATATAGGAAATGTGAATAGGCCAGGGCAGAAGGGGAGATACCACAACTGTTTATCACAGGTTTGATCAAAGGATGGGCTTCACTTGTCTCTTTTACGAGTTGTACTATGGTGCTACGAATGGCAAAACTCACTGACGCTACTGGCAAAACGTCTGGGAATGTACCACGTTCACGGTCCTACTCTGGAAAGGATGATGCATACAATGGACTCCGGATTAGGTGCGTTCCTCTAAGTCTTCCTACCAATATGACCAAGTTGCGAAAACAAGGTCAAACACCTTCTAAACATCATTAAATTGGAGTAGGTCGGCCTCGTTTTCGAAACTTGGTCGTGCTCTCAGGGTAACTTAGTTGGACGTACCTTTTTCGAATTCTGCTATAGTTGCTATCATAATTCCCAGATTTGGACCGTAGACTTGCTACACTCCCAGACGTTTCGCCGGCATCGTCAGTGATTCTTGCCATTGTCAGGACCAAGCTACAACGCGTCAATGAGACAAATGAATTAAATCCCATTACCAACTTTCTGACGAAACGGTTGTGTTATCAAGGAATTGACTTTACTTGCCTCTTTGACCAATTGTAGCTTAGTGCTGGGAATGACAAGAATCATTGATAATGCCTGCGAAATGTTAGGGAATGTTCCAAGTTCACGGTACGACACGGGGACTTTTGATAACTATTATAGTAGAGGACTTCGGAAAATATGCATTTAACTAAGTTGCCTTGACAGCACGTCCGAGTTTTGAAGCCGAGGTCAGCCCACTTCCATACATCGAAAGGATACCGCGACTATACCAAAGGACACACCATCTTTGGCCAT